GAAAATTGCAGGAGAGGTCTGAGCAGTTTGCTTCTCCAGCGGATGTTCATGTGGCAGGTTAACAGATTGCTGTAACCACCATAAGAAGAAATACCTGAATAAGGACCTTCTTGGTAGAACTGCCTGGATTTTTGACAGCAGAACTTTACCCACAATTTGTTAAAAACTAATGTTTTTTTTAGTTTTATTTTGTCTTCCAGCAAGGCATGTAGAACAGTACACCAAACAGTAATTATCAAGGACAACCAGGGGTGGACTGACCATTTGGAAACTCTGGCACTGCCCGAGGGCCCGGGGTCAGTAGGGGGCCCCATGAGATGCCCCTGGTACCTTTTCCATAGGCTTTTTTGAGTTTGGGCAAGGACACAGGGGCCCCATGATCCCCCATTGCCCGGGGGCCCCATGAGTTGTCAGTCCGCCCCTGAGGACAACACATCACACATTAGTGAATACAGGAAATTACATGGAGGAGATACTTTAACAGTAATATGATAAACACTGTGCTATTGCATATATAATAAAAGGGGTAAGTTATTGCCCCCGCGCAAAAATCCTCGCAAAGGCCAAAGATATAATGGATGCTGCCATGCTCCAAAAGCCATATTTTTTTATAAAGAAATTTGAAAAATTAGAAGCCCAGAATGACCTTAGACTAAAGAGAGAAAGGAAAAAGATGAGGCCGAGGATATCTAAATATGCCGAAGGGGAGAGTTGAATGGATAAAGAGTAGTTGGAAGAAGGTTCTAGATGTCTGGGACCAGGAATGCACCTTTACGAAACCATCCAAAGGATCGTAAGCTCCTTTTTGAGGTGAAGCCTGAATAAATGATTCAGACAGAAATGTAGCATAGTTCCGTGGGTATTGGAAATCATGTCAATAATACCACGTTTTATTAAACTGCACCTCTTTACATTTCATAGTCGCCATCAGGTGTTCCATGTCATTAATTTTGTTTACCACTGCGACCAACTGATCTACAGTAGGAGGGTCAGTACACTTTCATTTCTGTGGAATGCAGACCTTTGATGCACTGAGCAAGTGAATCAGGAGGGAAAAAAATAATGTCCGTTACCAAGAAACATACATTCCACATTAACCGCTTCCCAACCGCCCTGTAGCAGAAATACTGCTACAGGGTGGCACCAGTGTGCAAAATCACATATATATAGATTTTGCATTTCCGGGTAGGATGCGATTGCCTCACGTGCGCCCCCTACGTGCCGCCATTCACGGCTGTAAAATCACCGGGCCCTGACCTATGATTACTTGCCAGCGCCCGGTGATTACCGAGCATCTCCGACGGGGAGAACTGTTTTGTTTACTAACAGTTCTCCTCCCAGCTCGGGCACACTGCTTTGGATGGCTGTGCACAGCACAGCCATCCAAACACTGTGCTTACAGTGAAGCACACAGACACTGCCCCATAGTAAAACACACCCTGCACACAGTTAACCCTTTGATCGCCCCTCATGTTAACCCCTTTCTGCCCAGTGCCATTAGTAGAGTGGCAGTGCTTTTTTTTTTTTTTTAGCACTGATCCCTGTATTAGTGTCACTGGGGATGTCAGTAAAACCAAGTCAGTTCCTACCCAGTGTCAGAATGCCCACCGCAGTCCCGCTATAAAAGTCACTGATTTTTTTTTTTTAGCAAAGACTTGGAGCAGAATACATTTTGGCCTAAATTTATAACGGAATTTGATTTTTTAAATTTTTTTACTGGACATGTTTAATACAAGTCAAAAATAGTTTTTTTCTCAAACTTGTCTTTTTCATAGCGCTAAAAATAAACGCACAAGTAATCAAATACCACCGAAAGAAAGCTCAATTCAAGGGGATAAAAAGGACGTAAATTTAATTTGGGTGCAACGTTGCATGACTGCACAATTGTCAGTTGAAGTAACGCAGAGGCGTAACGCAAAAAATTGCCTGGTCAGGAAGGGGGGTAAATCCTCAGGAGGGCAAGGGGTTAATAAATATGCTACCAAAATTAGTGTGTGCTGTAAATTGCTTCCAGCATTGTTCCCGTTTCTTCTAGCTGGAGGCTGCCATTTTGCTGAAGTGAGGGCCTCTGGGCAGAAGTAAATCTTTAGGCTGTCAGCAGATCGGCTTCTATATTTCTGGCAGTCAAAAAATAGAGAGAAACTGAGCATGTGCAGAGCAGGGTGAGGCACTGTATTAGTGAATTTTAAACAGTATAGGCACTTGCTTGAAGTGAGCTAGCAGGACGTAAAGTGGTTCTAAAGGCTGAAGGTTTTTTACCTTCCTGCATTCTATGCATAAAGGTAAAAAACCTTCAGTGTGCAGCTCCTCCTCAGCCCCCTAATACCTACCTGAGCCTGATCTCGATCCAGCGATGTGCACAAGAGCAGCAGCTCCCCCCGGGTCTCTCCCTCATTACCTCAGACACAGCAGCCAATGGCTGTCAATCACAGCCAGTGAGGAGGGACAGAGGGAGGGGCCGAGCTGTGCTGTGCGTTATTTCGGATACACAGAGGTGGCTTGAAAGCGCAAGTGCCCCCAAACCAAACAGCTTGCTCTGGGGGCACTCAGAGGGGGGAAGGAGACAGGAACACCAGTGGAAGAGGAGGATTGGGGCTGCTTTGTGCAAAAAGTATTGCACAGAGCAGGTAAATTTTTTTATTTTTAAAAGAAAAAATCTGAACCTTTAGTATCACTTTAATTTTCTGACTAAAGTTCCACTTTAATAAAAGCAGCAGATATAGAGAATTGAAAAAAACTTTTAAAATTACATTAAAAGCTTAGTTCACCTTTAAAAAAATAAATAAAAATATGCAGTTATTTTTTTTACTTACACATGAGCCTGCAAAGTATTGCACCCACAGTCCGTGGATCACAGGTGCAATGTCAGGGTCCTGCACACTCTCTCTCCAGTTTTCTGCCCATACCTCCAAGGGGTTTAAGTAAGAAAGCTGGAGGAAGTGTGAATATACTATGAACGCACTGATCAGTGTGTCTGCAGTCCATTGAGAACTACAAATTGTCTACTGCTGTGGTAAACAGGACTTGTACTTTATTCATTCACAGATACCAGCGTCGCTCACACATCCACGCAGATTTCACATGTGACAGCGGCTGCAGAGGAGAAGACAATAGGTGCTGTATGCCCCATAAAACTTTACTAGATTTTAGCTTTAACAGTTTAGTTACAAGATTGTAGATTGGGATTAGAGCTACAGTGTTATGCTGGGGTCTAGTCTGCAACATCAGGTTACCACAAAGCACTAAGCTTTTTCAATGTAATGTTGCCTAAAGTGGAACTACACTGTGTACGAGTACCACAAACCAAAAGCACTATTTAATTCATTTTTGTTTACATTCAAAGCAAACCCACCCATCCATGTCTCCATGTTTTATCTTGTTGAGAAATCACTTTTGGATACACCCCCTAGCATTTCTGGACATGGCCATCTTGAGTTAGGGCAGATGACTCATGTAGCATTTACTTCTTGGAATCCATCAGCTCTTAGCTCAGGCATGCAGGCAGGAGGGTGTACTTAGCTGAGAAAACCCCTCCTCCCCTCCTGAAGACTAGCCATGGAAACGAGGAAGTAACTGAAGAAATAAAAAATAAAAAGAGCTTATAACAAGTAAATAGGATATCCTTTCCTAGGTATTTACTAATGCTAGCAGATACAGGATTCAAATACTCAATCTTGATTGAGAGAATGAAGTTCCACTTTAAGAAAATACATAAATTATGTGCTTCAGGGCTTCCTCCAAGGTATTCTATAACAGCGAGATAGAGTGAATGTGTTGCCCTAACAAAGAATTCATATTTTCATATTCAAATTTGTCTGAGAAAGTGAAAGCTAGCCAATATTTCTTCTTCTCAAGTCTTCTGCAAGACTTGCTCTTCTACAAAAAACATTTAACTACTAATGATGTCCTCTTCAGCCAGGAACATATTGACAAAGAAACTAATCCATCCAGCAGGACGAGGAGCTAACACAAGTTGATAGGCAATTCATTTTTACCTATATCATAGGCTGTCAATGGGGCTAGTGCAGCAATACGGCCCGGCGGCCGACTACGGCCCGGCGGACCGACTACGGCCCGGCGGACCGACTACGGCCCGGCGGACCGACTACGGCCCGGCGGACCGACTACTACGGCCCGGCGGGACCGACTACGGCCCGGCGGACCGACTACGCCCGGCGGACCGACTACCCGGCGGACCGACTACGGCCCACGGAGCGTGGCAAACATTGGCTGTCAGGATGTAGGCGGGGCAGCGTGACGAACTCCTCTCCTCTCACAGTCCGCCCTGAAGACAACACAACATCGAATAAAGTAAACCTTTGTTTATTTAATCTAACAAATATGGGCCCGTTCATGATTGAGGTAAGTTTTGAAATAAACATAGGCTGTTAATTTTAGTAATTTTGTGCACGTGGAATGTTTCCTATAAGACACTTAATTTATGTTATGTGTATGGAAATGTTACAGTTACAATGGTACATTTCATTAAACTGATTATTATAGGAAAAGGTTTATTGAGGAGGGAACTGGGGTCAATGTAGCTGAGATTCATATTTAGCAAAATGTGTTACTTATAGAAGTACAGGTGGCGGCATATACATAGGTGGTAAGTAATGAGTTTCTTGGTGAATGCTGTGTTATTTGTGCAAAGGCCATCAGTCCAGAAAGTGCACTGGAAGCTGCATTCTGCACTGCATTGCAAACGCACTATGTTTTGCAATCTGCTGTGGCTGTCAATTCAACGTTGATAATACCTCAAAAGCAAGTCGCAAACACAGTGCGTTCGCCTGCACCAGATCGCATGGTAAAAAACAACCATGTGATCCGGTTCCAATGCAGCTAAAAAAAAAAAAAAAAAGCGCCTGTGCTTCTTTGGTGCACCACACAGAACTGTATGTGAATTGCACAGGAATGCAGTGCGGTTGCTGTGCAACTCACATGTGACCCTATAGTGGGAATCTAGGCCTATAGGCACAATTATTCAACAAATTGTTACATACCTTGAAGGCGAGAGGATCTGCAGTCAGCAGCATGAGCCTTCTCTAGTAGAGACAAGATCTTTTGCTTGAGGTCTTCATGTAGTGTGTTCATGTCAGCAGTGAAACATAATGGTGCTTCAGAAAAACTAGATTCAGTTTGAGACTTTACATTCTCCTTTGCAAAAGAGAAACAGTAAAAAGTTTAAAGATGAATTGTTAGCATGGGAAATACCTACATATATACATATAAACATACACACACGTCCAAATGACAACATTTATCACCAGAAAGAAAAAAGTAAGAGAACACAGGCAGCAATAGAGTCTTAGAGTTTTAGACTCCCCTTCCTTTACAAGAAAAAGTTTCTGTTGTGGCAAGAATCCCTGAAAAACATAGGCCGACTATACATGGGTCGAAAATCGACCGATTTTTCATCCAAAAATTGGACCTAAGAATAATCGGCCGATTTTCGCTGTTAGTGGGTCAATGGCACCGGCCGATTTTTGTGGTTCCTCCCCTTTTCGGTGATCGGGCATGTTGGAAAATTCGTGAAAAACTACCGATTTTCGACTCCGTGATGGTCAAATAGTACGATCATTTTTTCGAAAAGAATATGTGCATGAGCCGTGACCTGGAAGGAACAGAAGTTTTGCATGTTATATGGGGTGAACGTTATGACTTGGTCGGCTGATATTCGAAATCAATGATGGCACCATCGGATTACCGAGCGAACGACGTTTCCGATTTTCAGACGTAAAATCGTTCGGAATTCGAACCATGTATGGCCTGCATTACTTTCACTTCTCACTAACAAAACGACAACAGTAATGGAAGTTAGGCCTTGGTTCACACGGTGAACCTCATGTGAACCGTACAGAACTACAACGCATTCCTGTGCAATTCACATGTGATTCAGTGCACTGCGATTTGAGCTTATTCATTTTGAATGGGCTCAAATCAAACCGAGACGTGCATGCACCTTTTTTGGAGCTGCACTGCAACTCATTTTGTACCATGCAATCTAGTACAGCCAAACGCACTGCTTTTGCAATCGGTTTGGGGTGTCATTAAGATTACATTGACACCCGCTGCGGATTGCAAGGGCTGAGAGATTTGAATACAGTACAGGAAACACAGGGATTGTTATGCACATTAGTGTAAACCTAGGCTAACTCCACTTTAAGAAAGTAGATTTGAATGGATTGTCACAGCAGAAGACAAAACAAATTATTGAAAAACAGTGTAAATGTAATAAAACACATAAAAAAAAAGGCAGGCAGCATGTTACTACCAATGGACACAGCCGCTCATCTCAGTTTGATTGTCTGCAGTTGTGCATCATGAATTCACACTGTCTACATTTGGGCTGGAGTGCGTGCTAGTGTCCAGCCAGCTGTTGACTCCCCCCCCCCCCCCCCATAGACTTGAATGGAATGCCTGCATGCAGCACCCATGGATCCAAATGCTTAAACGCACAGCCCATTTACAGACTACAGGTCTCAGAATCGATGTGAATAAGGCCTTGAAGAGCAAATAGAATAAATATTCAAAGTTTGCTCAAAACATGCACATGTATGTATAGCTAAAACAAGGAATCTCTTTCCTGTCACTATAGTCAAGGTTTAAGATGAGCTTACCTTGACAAGATACTGATAACTTCAAAGCAACAGTTCTACAATCTGATGTGTGAAGAAACGCTGCCAGCACACAAGCCCAGAACACCATTGTCAGACAATACACAGTTAGGAGGGGAGGGGGGGGTTGGACAAATCCTATGAGGTTTCTTGACATGCAGTGAATTGTGTATATGAATTATATAAAATCCTCTTGCGCTTTTATGACGTATACCTATAATATAAAGCAGCTCACACTTAAAACTGAAACCTCAATCAGTGCAATGAACGATTTATTAATATAGTGCAGCGCTATATTAAACCAAATAATAAACATATAAAAACTAAAAAAATCACCTTTTTAGTTTTTATATGCTTATTATTTATATGATATGAGGTTGGTTTAATATAGCGGTGCACTATATTAGTGGATTGTGTATATGCATGTCTGATAGGGGTGCGGGGAGTCTTTGCAAACACTGAGAAGCCATTGTGTAGGATACCAGATCTGATAGAACGCACAGCCATAGAGTCACGCACAGCAGCAATTAAATGCAGAAAAAAAGCAGCATATCATTCCCCTCCAGGTGTATTCATACTATCCTAGAAGATGACTTGTCTCTATTAAACATATTACCCGTTTCTTCAGTGCAGACAAGAACTGTGTTCTCTGTTCATATATGTAGTGTGATTCCTACAGCTGTCACTGGCAGTCATCATCTCTAACAGCTGTCAGATCTAGAATGGAGTGCCTATATTCAGGATGCAGCGAGATGGCAGTTAAGGAGTTCCTTCCAGGGTTTATTATATCTGCTGTAATAACTGAACTTGTCTATTTCCCCTACTGGTAGATCATTTGCCTCCAGTCCATGTGGGAACCAGCATACGTACTATGTAGAACTTTGGTACGCTCCACTGTTATCCCCATTCACACCAAGAGCCCTGCAATGGGCTGCCTTGCATGCAACAAACACGGCAAAAATGCGCATGCACCTTTCTGCACTTCCAGCGTTATGCTGCATTTGTTGTGCGTTTTTCTGGCGTGTCACATTTGGGGTGCCATTAACAATAAATAGCACAGCAGTCACAACAAATGTTCTTTGTGCGTTTCATGAACATGCTCAAAATCTGGAGTTAAGTGTGAATTCAGCCTCAGGGGCTGTGTAATATACAGTTCCTCCGCATAACTAGTGGGATAAAGTTTCTAACGTCTCTTGACAAGTGTTCCACATCTTCTTCAAATGTTAACCAAGTGCCCCCTAGTGTTCTAATTGTTCCTCAAATGTTTCCTACGTGCCCACTTTTGAATTTTGAAACTTTCAGTGCTGCATTCTCTGTGCAATCCATAGGGCAGTATAACCAGCTCTGAAATACAGCTAACAACATAACAGATAAGATTCATAAAAAACTGATTTAAAGCAAACACAACGGGAAACGTTATGGAGGGATAAAGTTAAAACAACTGTGTTAAAGCCTGTTTAGTAAAAGAATAAAAATCAGTACAAGGGACATTACTTACTATCAATGTGATGTGTCCCTTGTGCTCCTGGTTCCTGCTTTAATTGAAATATTCCTCTTCTGATCCCACGCAACCCTCACTGCCGAAATCTCTTGGTGCGGTGGGGATTAATAGAGCTGAGGGACCTGTGACAGGCACTCATCAAGAGTGTCAACTATGCCCGCCTTATGCGCCTACCTCCTACATTTATGTGATCTGTTCCATAGCTTCTATGAATGAAACATGATCTATGAATGAAGGAGGCAGACCTTTCATTCATCTGCCCACCCTCATTTCATCGATCATTTTTCATTCACAGAAGTTATAGTACAGCTTCTATGAACACAGGAGGTGTGCGAAAAGGGCAGACATAGTTGGCACTCTTGAAAAGTGAACATGACAAGGTCCCACAGATCTTTCAACCCCTGACACACTGGAAGATTAAGGTGGCGGGGGAGGGATCAGAGGAGGAAGATTTTATTTAAAGCAGGAGTTAGGACACATCACTTTGATGGTATATAATGTACCTGTGCTTGGCTTCTGTCAAATGGTCCTGGTGGAAAACCAACATTCTATCAGTGCTTGTTGCAAATGGCTGCATCTGTGTATTCTGACTGGGAATGGCAGTGGAGGGGGGTAAATACCTGCTATCAGAATACAATAGTACAGCAAGAGAGATCCCTGCATGCAGGAATCTGTCAGATTTTCTTCCTTCATACCTGCCTTTAGGCTTTAAAGAATCTTAACACTCATGTATTCTACTGGAAATATTTTTTACACATTACTACTCTGTACACCAAGGCAGAAATAGGAAACCGAAAAACATTTTGGGGAGTAATATAGTTTAACAGGGGCAAGTGTTCACTGGTAAAAGCAGTCTGAGTTCAGGTGCATTCTACTTGCATATGAGATTGTTTAGGGCCAGCTCTTCTTGCAGAAAAAAAATGTTTTTGTAAAAGTGTTTAAAAACGCTTAGTACTTTTGAGGGCATGGGGTCCTCTAGTGCTGATATTCTCTCACCATGTAAGATCTGAGATGCACCCCACTGTACAAAGCTACTGGACTTAAGGCACTCAGCATCCAAGGCAATGTCCTTCAGAAGAACCATTCGGACAAGACCAATATGCTCCGTACTGTGCTGCAGTAACTATCCCTGTCCCAGAAGGGGGGGCATTCACTACGTCCAGGAGGTGAAAGCACTGCAAACTCTACATGGTTAACAAAGAAGTCAGGAGTGAGATATTTAGACAATGCATGCCAACAAGGAGGCCACAGGTGTGGACCATTTAACAGCTGGGTCATCTCACCTCTGATCACAGGTTGTCATCAACACTGGATCCTGGCAAGGCTCAGGCTAGCTGGATCTTATAGGAGTTAGGCCCTTCTGAAGGTGCTGACTACTAGGCTTCATAGAGCTAACTCTTTACAGGAGGTAACTTGAGGACCCCACAATAGAGATGCCAGGAAAGAGCAAATGGCTGAACCTGAGAAGCAATACTCAGACAACAGTTGTACCCAAGCAGCACTGAGGATCAAGATCCTTGATTAATAGAGGGGAACCTCTGAGGTGCTATGCACCAAAATATATTGTTCCTGTCCCAGGGGTAGGGAGCGTGTGAGCAAAGAGGGTGACTCCCTGCACCTGGGTGACAGAAAGAAAAGCCATCTAAGGGCTGAACCAGATGCACATTCAGCACTCCACTTATAGACATGAGGATGCACCCTCCTCACGTTGGTTGACCAGTGAGTATGTGCCCTACAGGCTGGGCGAGAGTCAGGCTCAGGGGGCCTGGGGGCACTAACTGCAGAAAAAGGATGGGATTCAACTGGCCTCTCTCTAGATTTCCATGTTGCAGGGCTGAAGAGGCATTGTCCCTTGATTGCCAACCTAGTCAGATGCTTTTTGGATAGGTCATCAGCATTCCAGCAGGACAACCACAGTGCCCTATGCATCTGTATAGTCATTACATCCACACAGGTTATACGTTTAGAAGCTTGTAGAAAACCATCACATCTATTCTCAGAAACTGGGTTTCATCCCAGACATACAGGAGGTTCCTTTGGAGGAAACAAACCCCCAGAACAGAGGGCAGAATCAGCCTGTTCAAACTGGAATTTAAGGGGATTCAGCTGTCTGTTAGAATCTTTAAAGGGTAAACACAACTTCCACCTGAATAGTGTTGCTTCTAATATGGTACACAAGTTGATCCACAGTGGAAATGGTTTACCATTTAACAAATACCCTCTTTTGTACAGATCTCAGGTTTGAACCAAGATTTCAGTTTACACAGAGGAATTTCTTGACTTCTGGGTGTAAGGGAAAGGTCTGTGGCAGCTTTAGGAGCTCTAAAAGGCTGTAGGCTGGAAACAGCAGGCCGATTCTCCACATGCAGTGTTGAATACACTGCATTAATAAGGTCAGATACGAACCCTTGTAAATCAGGAAACAGGAGACGGAGGGGTCTCAAAAACAGCCATGTCAGTGATAAACTGGTGAAACTCTGAATCTAAGTCAGAAATGGTCATAGGGATCAATGTCTTGGCCTAATCTAAGGTGTCTTGACGGTCAGCAATAAGCTCTGCACAGAATGCTACTGGATCACAATCGGAGCCCCTGCGGTCAGTGAGTCAGAGGAGTTTATTGCAGGTGGCCAAAAAGTCTTAGGTGAGCATAGAGGACTCCAAGGGGACAGGGCAGGAAACTGAGCCCCACCTGATAAAGCTGAAGAAGACTCTATAAGTATAAGGGTACCAGGCACTAGAGTACCAATGTCAGTTTGCTTAGAGGATACAGAAATCAGATTCTGTCCTCCTAGCCCACTAGCAAACAATGAGGCATGCTGGATAGAGGAGGGGTTATACTAGGGAAAAAAGTTTGTATTTTTTCTGTTGTCAAAATCTGATCCTTCTGTAGGCAACAGTAACCGGTCTCGATCTGAATTTCGATGTCACTTGATAGACGTGTAAGAATTATCTTTTTTTTTCTGACTGATTTGTGTTAACCGGATTGGTTAATAGGTTACTGCATTCCACAGCTCTCAGCTTGGCCTTTTGTAAACATGAAATAAGATCCTATTTTTAAGATGCAATGTGAAAAGTTGAAATTAAAAAAAGAAAAAAAAAAAAAAAAAAAGTTACAGCTGTACTGTATATATCACTCTGCACACAGAACAAATGAAATGGTTAACTACAGGTCACAATATATTTATTTGAAAAGAACCTACCATCCCTCCCTCTTAGTCTGTAAGCTCTAACAAGAAGGACCCTCTGATTCCTGTTGTACCAAATTGTATTGTAACTGTAATGTCTGCCTTCATTTTGTAAACAGCTGTGCAAATTGTTGGCGCTATATAAATCCTGTACTATAATAATTAATATTACAGAAATATGGGAGCTGTCATTGCCATTGCTAAACTTCTTTCTTTACAAGCTGAAAGTGGTCAAGCGGTTATTCACTAACACTTTAACAGGCTGCATATTTTTGGGTCAAGAACTTAGCAAGTAGTGAAGTTAGAGAACAAGGATGACAGCCAAAGAATGTGCACTTTTTAAACTAGAGACAGTTTTCATATTTATGAAAAATTTACTAAATAAATTCTACTTAAAAGTATAACTAAAAGGCAAAATGTTTTTTTTTTTCCAGTTCTGGATACAGAGGAGAGGGATTAGAACACCTGTTAGGTTTTTATTGCAGTCTGTGCCCCCATTAGGGAAATGAATCCTCTATATTTGTTCGGTTTACCAGTATCATTGAAAATGAAAGTAAACTCCAAATTCTGGGTTGTCCCCAGAAAAGTAATAGAGGACAGGAAGTACAGGTAAATCTCCCCAATGGGACACAGATGGCACAAACACTAACAGGGGTTATAACCCTCCCTTACTCTATCCAAAATAAAGAAAAAGTTTTACCTATAGTTCTACTTTAAAAAAAAAAAAAAAAAAACGGGATATCAGTTGGCCAGTTCAGCAGAAACAACGAACAAATGTATTTGCGTAGTTAGGTCTCATATTTGTTTTGGGAAATTGGCATAATGATACTTTGGAATGTTTCTGAAATCAAGTCAATAGCTTTCTTTTCCTAAAATTACTATGATAAAAAAAAAAAAATGATGTCATTTTATTCTCAATATTTTCCTTTAAATATTTTAGTGGTATGTGAAATGCCATCTGTCTTCTACGCAAACATGATTTTAAACTGGGACTGTCAAGCCTCATAAACAGAGTTGTTAAATTTAGCATTTTATTCTAGTACAGTGTCAAGCTCAGCAGACATGACAAAACACCCCCCAAAAGCCATTTATCAAAAAACATACAAGCACTTTGAGAATAATGCTGTGAAATGTGACACAGAACATGGACTGACGTAACTGACTGCGTTTTATAGAGACATCCTGCCATACAGGCAACAGATACTTCTGAAAACAATGTGTAAGCCTCAGATTTCAATTGCCTTGAAATTTATATCTCATCTATCACAGAAGCAAAAGGCATTCTGCAAGGGAATATACAGATTCGAACTGGTTATGAAATAAAAAAAAAAAAAAAAAAAAAAATCAGAGTACAATAGGACTTACCCTTACTGCATACTTCACCTGGTTAAAAGCTGTGTAAAGATTACATGGTTTAGAAACTACAATTATCGCACAATACCTTTGTAATTTTTAGATCTTTGTCGACATCTGTTAGATTTATCTGTTGATTTGTCAGTAGTCTATCTGCACCATCCAGTTGCTGAGCGGAGTCATTTTCTTTTCCAAAATCCCCTCCATCCCCCGGGTAACAGCGATCTGCTTCTTCAGAGGGTATCCTAGATTCTAAAGTAAGTGCATGTGGTTCCCCATTTTCATTAAACATGAGACAAGGTGAATCTGAGGTGTTTTCAGCCTTAGCAGAGTGTGGCAAAGTGGTTTCTAAATCATTAACTGTACTACTATCAAGCAATTTTGTTTCATCAGCTTCTGTAACAGGCCCTGATACTTTCTGCTGAGTTACACCTGAGACTAGGTCTAATGATGTAATAGCTGAGCTTTGGTCAGCCTCAAGAGGGTCAGTTATGCCAGTTTTTTCAATTAACTGTGTTTCCACCGTTTCTTTCTCATTAAGTTCTAAAGACTGTTCAGGTATCTCCTTTAATAATTTAGAAAAACTGGATTCTGAGTGCAACAATGTATTGGTAACATCTTCTACAGCATCATCAACATCTTCTGAATCCATGCCAGATCCAAGATCTTCAGGACCATCCTTGTGTATTATCTGTAGACCACTTGGATCTTTCATTTGTACTTCATGAGCCTTTGGTTCCTTATTTTGAACTTTTCCATGTTTAGGTTTACATTCACTGTGACAGGAGGCATCTTCCCTTTGTTTGCCTTTATTTCCTCTGGACAGACAACCATGACTCGGTTCCGAGAGAATTGTGCTATTTCATGTTTGTCTATCTTAGAACTTTTACTCATTAAATCATATTGCAGGGATTCCATAAGACCTATTTCCATAGAGCAGACGTTACTGCTGTCATCAGAATCTACATCAGAAGGCGTTTTGCTGCCTTCTTCTAACATGTCTCCAGCATGTTCTAGCTCAGGCTCCTCCAGAACCATGTCCAAAACTGGAGGTATATTACGTAACAACTTGTAAGAGTCTGAACGTGACATTTCTTTATTAATGTGAACATCTACCATTTCTTCTTCTCCTTCTTCCTTAATGTCAACAAGCTGTTGCTTGCGGAGGTGCATTTCAAGCAAGTGTAAAACATCAGGGTCCAGTTTATCTGAAACGTACTGATGTCTCTCTTTTCTGTGATCGAGCCCATCTTTGGAGCAGCTGTAATGAAAAGAACTATCTATGTTATCCTCTTCACTACTTTCCTCCTTCTCAGAAAGATCCTCCTCTTCCACAAACTCTAGCTCATGTAAAACTGGCTGCAATCGTCCACATTTTAGTGATCGGTGCTCCTTTTTCCGCTTGCCTCTTCTGGTACCATCATGTTTTGGTAAACATAGCCCAAAGCGTTTGGTCTGAAAATCAAGAGAACAATTTTTTGACCTGTCTTCACTCTCACACACAGTGTGTGCTAATACATCACAGTGTTCCATGCTAGAACTTTCTTTCTGTTTGGTAGAAGTAATATCACATTTGCTAAGGTTTAAGTGCACAGCATAGTTGTTCCCATTGTTTTCCGTATGAATTGATTTATCACAGCCTTGTGGTTTATGATATAAGCGTTCTCTTGTCGATTCAATGTCCTGTTTTGTGACTTCATCTAGCAAGTCTCTCTTGAGCATGTCAGAATTAGACACAGCAGTTTCTTTGAAATTATTATGTTCCAAGTGTTCTTTTTCTTTTGATCTATCACCTAAAATAGACTCTGTTGCATAGGAATCCTTTGCATCCTCAGGATTTTCCTGAAGCTCTAACACAAACTCACTTTACTTGGATTGTGTATCTCTTTGTCTAACTCTTCATTCTGTAGCTCTCCTTGCAATATCTCGTTCTCTGAAATATCTTTACTAATGTTGTTTTTTAAGGTGTAATTGGATAAAGCTCGTTTTGATTGCACGTTATACAGTTCTCTCCCATCTTGTTCTCTGCCTTTATCTGTAGTCTGACATGAGTCATGCAAGTGATTAAGCGTCTCTTTATATGCTTTGCTGTTCCTGTCTTTAGATGATGTAAGAAATGATTCTTTCGGATTGTCTGCAGCTGATATTTGATCACTGACTGTTGTAAAATCCCCTGAAGATACAAATCTTTGGTTGGTAAAACAGTCTTGTTCTGATACTTCTTTGTTGTTGTTGAGAAGGTCTTCTGATCTTACATTCTCCTCCAGCTGGAAATGGTCAGTTGCCACAACTTTTGCCAGTGCTGCTGTATGCGCTAAATGACACCCGTTTACAAGATCAAGAAGAATGCCATTCCCAGATCGAGTATGATCTAGAATACAGAAAAAAATAAAATAGGCTGACTTTTTCTGTACATTATTAACAAATTTAAGTACGTTTAACATTTTATACTGTTTTTCACAATGACATTATTCTAATACAAAGTTCAAGCTGAAAAAGTTGTTTCAGTGCTCCCAGTCCCCTTGTTTTGTTCTAGGGCAGTGGTCTCCAAACTATGGCCCGGGGGCCGGATGTGGCCCTTGGCTTGCCTTTACCTGGCCCCTTGGGGCACTATTCCTCCCATCCCACTGATGAAATCTATGGGGCACTATTCCTCCCACTGACCCCATCTATGGGGCACTATTCCTTCCACTAACAGCATTGATGGGGCACTATTCTTCCCACTGATACCAACAACGGGGCATTATTCCTTCCATTCAAACCAGTGATGGTGCGTTGCTTATGCCCACTAATGTCAGGGCATTTTTTACTCCCACTGGCCACAGTCCGGCCCCCCTAAAGTCTGAAGGGCAGTAAACTGGCCCTTTGCTTAGAAAGTTTGGAGACCCCTGTTCTAGGGAAAGGGAAAGCGTAGACTAATACTTGCCTAAAACCAAGGTCCCACAGTCTTCCTCCCCTTTGGTTCCAAGAACTGGACCTAAATGCCACTCTTCTCCATGATGCCATCATGTACAGTGCAGGGGCAAGCAGCCTTGTCATCAAGATGATGTGGCAGATGGTAGGACTGTGAGCTAGCAGTCCAGAAAAAAAGATGACTAGACTACCAGATATGACCCCTTCATATTCTGGGGAAGAAGTGACCATTTTATCAATGTTTTAAGGTTGGGTCTTAAGCATCTTGCCCTCTCCAATAGGCTGTCAGAGAAAACCCAAACGTCCAAATAAGAAGATTTTAACCCCCCGCCCCCATAAAACAATACTTAGTCTAAATATTGCAATGCATCAGTGTCATGGCTAGAAATTCTGGATAAACCCTCTGCACACTGCTATATACCCTTTCTAGGAAACTTTGCAATAAAAAACAGGGATTTTTAGTTCTCACATATTGCAATACATGTTTAAACTGGCCAACTGTGTCAAAGTAATACCGCTATGGCCAGTCCCACTCTGCTCTGCAAATGCTACTGTGGACACAATGCCAACATGGGGCAAGACAGACACAAAGTTGGGAAAGCTACTAGGTTTAGGTCTGCCCAGTCTAGTTTAGTTGCCAGTGTCCTTTTATTAAAAGTCAGCAGCTTCAGTATTTGAAGCTGCTGACTTTTAATTTCTTTTTGGAAGGGCTGGGAGGGTTATGGGACGACTACTGAAGATCATTTTTAATAGGCAAAGTGATCGGTTTACTATAAATACAAATATCAGATGTTTTAGTCATAGTTTGCTTTTGTTCTTGTAAAATACATTGGTAAATCTATCTCTACTATAATTTAGAATAGGAAATGCTCCAAAGGAGCTGGGATTTTTGAGGTGCCAATAGTGTACTACAATATAAGTTTAAGAAAAAAATATCATAATTTGCTTGATCCATATCAATAAAAAAAAAATACTCAATATATCCATAAAAATAATAAAAGGTTTTCCATATACAGATATTCTGATTAGAAAAATTTACAGCATAGTTTTGCTGTAGATTCTGATGGTGTAGCGATCTCAATATGTTTCCCCAACACAGTAAAGACACATAAAAATATGCAAAATATATTTTCACTAAATCTATAAACAATATATTATAATCCAAAAAGTTTAGTGAAGTGAATCTTACCAAAGTAAAAAATAGCTGGAAACTGAGTCACAATTGTTCTAAGATGCAGTCAAAACCTAAAGACACAGCAGTCAGGCCCCACCACCAGAGTGTTAGTGTGGTATATGATTGGCCACCGGAGGAGTAATCAGGACCCTACAACTAAAATTCAAAAGAGCTTGTTTTATCTTTAAAAGGCCACAAATCATTAGAAGATACAGAATGTCACTGTCTACAGGTCTCAATAGATATCTTACATGGAGATTATAAAGATCAAACTTGGAGCTGAAGATGATACTCAAAATAATCTCAACATGGCCCACATACAAATAAGACTTCCACCAATATAAATCTGCCCTTCAAAAATACAATTCCTGTCTCGATATTGCCAAAGCTGTTTTATCACTCATCAACACCCTCTCACGCAATCCCCGTCAGCTCTTTTCTACGATTAACGCTCTACTTTGACCTTCATTACTTCCACGCACTCACTGCCCAGGAGATCACTAATCACTTCAAAAATAAGATTGATACAATTCGTGATGAGATCTCCACTGTACAGATATCTCCCTCACCCTACACTTGTCCACCTGCACAATCTATACATCCCTTGTTTAACCCAACTACTATAGAGGAGGTTCGTAAACTTTTTTCTAAAGCCCACCTCACAAATACTATGGTCATTCTCTCTGGCTCCATCCTTCACTCTTTAAACTCATATCTTCAATCTCTCCCTTTCCAATGGCATTTTCCCCAACTCTCTAAAACATGCGCTAGTCACCCCATACTTAAAAAGGGCTCACTGGACCCCTCCAATCTTGGCAACCTAAGACCCATCTCCTTACTCCCTTTTGCCTCCAATCTCCTTGAAAGTCTAGTCTACAACCGGCTGAGTTGCCACCTTATTGAGGATAACCTTTTCGATCCCTGTCAGTCTGGATTTCACCCACAAAACTCCACAGAAATTGCTCTCCAAAAACTCACAAACAACTTGCTAACCGCTAAAACCAATGGTCACTGCGCCACCTTTGACACAGTTGATCACCCCCTCCTCAAAAAAAACTCTTATCTACTTGGCCTCCATGACTCCATACTCTCTGTTGGTTCGAATCTTACCTATCCCACCACACCTTCAGTGTCACTTACTACTCTACTTCCTCCTCTCCTACTCCTCTTACCATCTGGGTTCCCCAAGGTTCTGTCCTTTGACCTCTCGATCTATTCTCGATCTACACTTCTTCATTGGGTCAGCTAATAGCTTCCCATGGTTTTCAATACCATTTCTATGCTGATGACACACAAATCTATCTTTCTACTCCTCAGCTCACCCCAGCAGTTTCCTCACGTATCACGGATTTACTAACATACATATCAGACACCACTTCCTAAAACTCAAAATCTATCCAAAACGGAGCTCATAATATTTTCTCCCCCACGTGCCTCCTTGACCCATCCCTGCATGCCAGGGTGCTAGAGGGAACCCTGGATTCTGAACTGTTCTCTCAGGCCCACATCCAATCCCTGTCCAAATCATGCCACCTCAACCTCCACAAACATGTCCTGAATATGCCTTTTTAACCAATGATACCACAAAACGCCTAATTCACTCCCTGGTTATCTCTCACCTCGACTACTGCAACTCCCTCCTCATTGGCTTACCTAGGCTTACATTCAGTCCATCATGAATGCTGCTGCCAGGCTCATCCATCTTACCAACCGATCAGTGTTTGCCACCTCTCTTTGCCAATCCCTCCACTGGCTTCCACTCCAACGAATAAATTTCAAAATAACAGCAGCTTACAAAGCCATCCACAACTCTGCTGCCAGCTACATCACCAACCTGGTTTCAAAATATCAACCAAACCGCTCTTTGATCCTCCCAAGACCTTCTGCTCTCTAGTGCTCGTGTCACCTCCTCCCATGCTCACCTCCAGGACTTCTCCCATCCTATGGAACTCCCTACCCCAATTTATCTGACTATCTCCTAATCTATCCACCTTTAGACGATGCTTGAAAACATTTCTCTTTAAAGAAGCCTATCCTGCTTCAAGCTAGTAAACTGCATTTTATTTCCTCCATCAGCTCATCCCCCCACAGCTATTACCTTTTGTATCACTCAACCCTTCCTCCTAGATTGTAAGCTCAAACGAGCAGGGCCGTCTATTTCCTCTTGTTCCAAATTGTACTGTAGCGAATGTCTACCTTCATATTGTAAAGCGCTGCACAAACTGCTAGTGCTATATAAATCCTGAATATTAATAATAATAAATAAGGGCTCATGAGATACTGTATCAATCAATATGTCATCTACAAGTGAGAAAGTTTGAGGCCAAATACAACAACAAAATCACCACTGAACAAATCTCCATAAACTTACCCAGGTTAGCAGCTCATGGCAATTAACAATTGAAAATTAGCACAGGTCTGTGGATGAAATGGCCACTAAGCTTGGATCCTTATATATCCCTCCCTTTTGCATGTAGTCTCAGGGTAATGGCTAATATACCTTGAAACAAAGAAGAGTCTACTTCTGTCACAATTGAGAAAAATTGTGACATCCAGGAAGGTTATAGATTTTTGATGACTATTAATTGTAGGTATCCATTGCAGGTGGATGACATAGTTTCAAAGCATATGAGCCTAAGGGCTGATCTCCTAGATTCTAAGCTCGAAAGAGCAGGGCCCTCGAACCCCTCGTGTATTGTATTGTTTCTGTCTTGTCTCATGTTCTGTCCCCCTTGCTATTGTACAGCGCTGAGCAAACCCTTTGGCCCTATATAAATACTGTTTAATAATAATAATAATAATAATAATAATAATAATAATCTTAGATGTGGTACTTTAAATCTCCTGAAGAAGCCCTAATAGGCAAAACATGTTGAGATCAATACACCACAAGAATCTACAGTAAAATTATGTTATGAATATTCCATTAGGAATGTCTGTATATAGAAAATGTTTTTATAATTTGTATGGATATACTGAGTATTTGTATCATAGATCTGGATCAATAAAAATAATGATTATTTCTTACACTGTAGTACATTATTGGCACCTCAAAAATCCCAGCTCCTTTGGAGCATTTCCTGTCTTGTCTATGGTTCATGCATAGGATGTAGTGCCTTGAGTCCTCTTCTAACCCTAGACTGATGTGGCATAATTTAGAATATAAAAACATAAATCAAGCTGGTTTTTAGGCATGTATCCACCAGTTTTTACTTTCAGGATTTTACTATAATCTACACTGCATTACTTAGATGCAGAAATAGAGTTCACTTTTAATATGTGATATATGACAAATTACCTTCAGAAGATGATTCATCACAATGAGCAACTGTTGCATCCTCCATGTCTCTCCTAGAAGAAAGGTACACTCCCTTAAAACTGTTAATGACAATCGCCTGTTAGTTACACAGATGTTTTCCCTGAAGCATTACTGTAGCAGTTGATGTATTTTACATGGTACAAAAGGACACTGTAAAAAAATAAAAAATAAAAAGGAAAAATAGTTTTGCTCCCTTAACTGATTAAGCTCACAATTTAGACATATTTACCCCTTTCAATTCTTGAGCAACTGTACTTTCAAATTTGGATTGCTCCCTTAAACCTCTTTACTTTATGCCTCAATCACACAGGCAATGACATGCATGCAATTATATGCATTTACAGGATGTTTAAAATTGCATTCAGTTTAATTTCATTTAGAAAAAAATAGAAAATTCTATCCTGAAGCGTGTTAATGCATGGAACCTCCTCATGAAAAAGGAAACCTCTAAAAATACTTACCAGATCAATTTCTTTTGAATGAGGGTTTAATAACTGTTCTACCTGCAACATTTTTTTTTTTTTTTTTTAATTTTCTCAATTTAACTACCTAAATTTTACTGCTTTTAGTGTTCTTTACTTTGTCCACTTTTGTTGGGAGATCTGTATATTCTCTGAAATCCTAGAACAAAAAATTGTTAAAATTACTGTTAGGCTCAGTTCACACCATCGAAGAGTGCGTGCAGTTCTCAGTGTTTCTACAAATCTCATGTAGGGCTGTTCTACACATGAAAACACTCAAAAGACATCCCTGACCCTTTTGAGAAATTGCTTCGCACCCAAACACATGATGCTAAGGGACCATGCATTTTGGCACCCATGAAAATGCAAACTTCCCTAAATGCATGGGGGTGCTGTGCATGAGCAAAAGGACAAGTTTCTTTATGCTGTGGAAAGGCGCGCAATTTTGTACACGTTCCTGCAACACAAAAAATATGAACCTAGCCTAAGGGATAGTTGTGCATTCTGCAACTTATAGCAGTCTGAAAAGAAAAAATATGTAAAATGTAGTGAATGGCTATATATTTATTTGAATTTACAGGCTTATTCAGGTTGCAAGGAACTATCTGCAACCACTAGGAATCCATATTGTACTGGTTTAGGTTCAGTAAAAGGAATTCTGGTTAGCAGGCATGGTTTTCTAGTTTTTGTCCTGCAACCATAACAGAAGTAACAAAAATCAAAATGCCTCGTCATATAATTTATACGGCATACAAGAAGATATACTGTATAATATAAATACTGTATAATAATATTGGAAATATTTGTAAATGAAAAAGTGTAAAATAATTTTTTGTTTTGGATAGAGTCAGGAAGAATTAGAACCCATCTGGAGCTCCTTTAAAGGTGAGAGTTCTTCTCATTTCCTGTTCCACTGACAATGGTTTCACTAAATAGGAAGTGGAAGAAAATCTGCCATCTGACGAAGACAGCAATAAAGATCTAACGAGGATTCTAGTGGTCTTATAGACAGCTTGAAAAAAAAGCATATTTACTTCTGTCTGCGTTGCCTTTGGAGAGTTGCCCTCACTTTCGGGCAAAATGTAGCACTTTGGAACCTACAACAATCATTGCAATCTATAATTCAACTGGAATTTTTTCCTCAACAAAAAGAGGAATTTTACTTTAAAATGTATGTCAAGCCAAAGCTTTTAGTTTTAAATTTTTAGTTTTAGATGTTTTGCTTCCTGTGTCTTTTAGGTGAGATTTTCCCTCATTTCCTGTCCTGGAGATGCAACATGAAATCTCTCTGAAGCAAACTGAATTCCCATCTTAGAGCACTATCAGAGGACAAGGCTTCCCCATTGGAGGAATTGTTCTTGCCTCTTGCTCTGAAGACAACTATGACTGCCCTTCAACTAAGCAACAGGTATCAGGTACCATCTGGTCCTCCTTCAGCAAATCTTAGAAGAATCAAACATGATTCCAGCAGTTGATATGCCTAAATTAATCCATGCTTTTGAAAGATCCAGTCTGAATTACTGCAAATCTCTCTAATATGGTCCCTCCGAAAAAAAAAAAAAAACACATTGTTTGCAGCTGGTACAGAATGCAGCAGCCAGGCTACTCCCCCCCCCCCCCCCCCCACTGCCACATCTTCCCAATTCTTCGTGCCCTACACTGGCTTCCTCTTAAAATGTAGGATATCGTGTAAAGTTGACCTACTTGTTTATAAAGTCGTAAATAACCCGAACCCCACCTGACAGAAATCACACTCCCGCATATTCCCTCCACTAATCAGGGAAATGAAATTCACATGTGCTCGGAGTTGTCCTAAACATTTTTGGATGTCATGCATTCAATTTGGAAGTCACTGTCATCCAGAGTCCTCAAGACGCCCTCTCTGGATACTTTTAATCGCAGACTCTAGTAATACTGATTGTGACACTTGAAAAATCCTTTTAGTCAAAGATCCCAACACAAATTTGGTAAGTGTTTTGAGTCCCCAGGGAGGAAAGACTACTGAAATATTATTTTGAATTTCCTCTCACTTTCTGTACTAGAGACAATGGAGGGGGCGGGAAGAGGTCACACAGAAAGCAATAAAACTTGAGAAAAAGGATGTAGCATTTCCCTACCATAGAAAAAAAAAAAAATACATGCCTTTACACATGGTACAACTATGATGGACAATTGCCAGCAAAAAATGTAGACGCCTGTAAATATATACAATGTAGTTGTGAAAGGTGAGAACGCTACAAAAAGATGTATAAAAAAATAATTCTAATTTAAAAACATACAGTATATCATTCTATACACAAAAAAAAAAAAAAAAAAAAAAAAATCAGATTACATACAGTATATACACACATACACCTATTTTATGCATGACATTATGTTTGAAAACAGAGTGTACATGACATGCATGCATGGAAGAGATTATCCATAGAATCGAATTTAAATTGACAAATATTTGTATAGTTGTGACAGCACATGTTAAAAACCATTATACAAGCCCTGAGCCTTTGTGTGAATCGAGGTTCACCTACTGTTCTCTTGTCTGTATGGTTCTTTGTTCACATTAAGGCCTCATGCACTCTGGGTTTTTCTGCTGCTCCTAAGGGCATCTGGCCTTTAATTCCTGCCTCTAAATGCCCCCGTATGTTAGCCAGTGTCCACACATACATTGGCGTTTAGAGCAGCTTACAGGCAAAGGCATTTAGAGGCAAAAAAAGGGCCCAGGAGCAGCGGTGTTTTGGCAGAAAAATAAACGATTGATAAATGATTGATGCCTGCAAATGTGCCTAAACATGTGTAAATGCGTCTACAAACCTAAACGTTAGGCGAGTTTAGCGCTTGAGCATTAATTCATTTCAATGGCCAAAATAAATTATTATTCTGCCCAATGAAATGCATTAACACCCAAATGCTTGATGCGCCTAAACGCAGTACACACGTTTACAAGACTCAAACACTTCTGTCAGGAGGAAAGGTGTCTAGAAGAGATAGCAAAATGTCCAGTGTGCATAAGGCCTTACCTCTACTTGATATGTGCTCATGTAATATGTACAGAGTCTCTAAAAAAAAAATAAAATAAAATAAAAATAAAAAAAACAAAATAATATTGATTTTGGAAAAAAATATATACGCATTTCTATAGTATATGCACTTGTGCCAACAAGCAGCAAAACTGTAGCGTGCAGGATTTTCTAAAAAGTCACTGGACATAAGTACAATATTATAAGATACTACATATACAGACCCTATTCCCCTATTCACACCTGAGCATTTGTTGTGTGTTTTCACACATTTCTCTACACATGACAATGCTCAATGTCAAATATCCAATACGTTTCTTTGTTGGCTGTTCATACTAGTCACCTGAAGCTCAGAAAGGTACATAAGCTTTTCATGCAGCTGTGTCATGGTTTTTTTTGGCATCTTGGACTTCAATGGAAGCACTTGTAAACACCCTAAAAAACAAAAATGCTTTCGAGCATTTTTATGCCTGAACAATTGCCCCCCCTCTCTTCCTCCCACCCAGGATATTCCATATTTGTGCAAAAATACTTGCAAAACACTTGCACATCTAAAAGCATCAAAAACAATGTTTCAAAAATCACCTGGGAAATGCTCAGTTCAGGTGTGAATGGTAGATAATGTCTGCGACTAACAGATAGAAAAAAAAAAGTTAGAAATACAAATTTGTTTTAGGTTTAAGAAAACATGTGGCATAGTGTGTTAAAGTAATATTAATCGCCCCCCCCAAAAAAAAAATTTAATATACTGTATTGTTGGGACTGCATTAGTTTTCTTTCAGGTTTTTCTCCCTTTATTTCACCTGGTGATCCAACCTGTAACACACATCCTTTCTTAAGGCGGCTGACTCCTGGATGAAGTAGTAAAGTAGAATCCTGTGGACAGCAGCTTTGTCAGTCTGGGGGGGTAGTGTTAAAGAATAGCTCCACTTTTGCTGAGAAAAAAAACAAAACAGCATTCCCCTCTGGTTGATCTATGTACATTGCAGGGATTTTAATAGACTTTGCTGCAGATTCCTACCTTTTGTTATGCTGAAGAAATATCCATTTGTTTGAATGTGTCCATGTACAAAATGACTGTGATCGGAAGTGATTTTATAATTATCAATCAGGTGCTGCACTTGCAGGACTCTAAAGAAGAAAGTGGCAGGGTCTGCATCCCTTTAGATGTGATTTCCCTTTAGGAGTATCTCACCAAAAACTACATTTTTGTTGTAGGGATGCCCATCTCACTTGTTTCTTGGTGCAGATTCCTGGGAAAATCAGTGAGTCAATCACACAAGCAGGAAATTACATTCTGGGGGGCGTTTCACATACTGTGTACGGAACACCTCCAGGTTGTCAAATTGTATTGCATTTTACTTGAAATTACAGCACTGCAGTCTGAAAAGGAAAGGTCATCTAGAATAACTTTAAATCACAATATGACTTATGTTGTAATTATATGATGTATATTAGTTTTTTAAATTTGCTATTTATTTTCTATGAAAATGGATTTACCTTTTACGCTGGGTATACACTAGTAGAATTTAGAATGGAAATTGATA